GTAACACCAAACAAAGCCTGAAGAAAAAACACAAAGGAAACCATCTTGAAATGACCTTGACATCGACCAATCAGATCTCTAGTTTTATTTCATTCAATAACAATAACAACAACTTGATTTTGACAAGCATGAAGCTCATTTACGAGATAAACGGAATAGTGTTAACAAGAAAACAAATGAGCATACATTTAATAAAGATGATTTAAATAATCACAATCATCTCAGACAAAAACGAATAAAATGATTAATAATAATTACCTTTGTATTATCAGAATCCACCAAATTTAGAACGTCCTTGATTTACGTTTTGTCGACGAAGTTAAAATTACCGCCAACTGAGACTTAACACCGTGTCATATTAGTGACAGCCGTTATACAATATTCCTGCGCTTTTTGCCATTTGGCAAATGTAAACGACTTGTAATTAGAGATTTTCGGCGATTAAATATTTCATACAATTGTTCTTTGACATCTTAGCCAAAAGCACAGGGGATAATAATCTACATAAGGATTTCAAGCGAGCACTACTTTCTATGTGCAACTTCAAAACTTTTGGGTGGTTCGACGATCATTTAAGGTTTTTCTGGTCATATTTTTTGTATTCCAGAATAAAAAGTATGAAAAAAGTGTTCAATTAGTTATAAATAACATAATAGCCAGCCAGATAATAACAATGGCACATATTTCAGCATTTATTGGGTAGATCACAAATCTAGGGTGCTCGCATAAAGCAGCTTAACTGCTTAAAAACGAGAAACACGTATGAACTACATAAACAGACGACAGCTACTGTACATTCCTGACTTATGACAGGTGCAAATCTAGTTTTTCCTAACTAAAGAATTTTGAAAGGCTGATTAAAATAGCAATAATGATTTATTTTAAAAGTATTTCTATGTGCAGATTCAACGCCAAATTCCACAGCGACATCAGGCTTCAGTGTAGGAACGACAGCAAGCTTCAGCCGTAGAAAAAAGACCCATGCTGAATGTAGTGAACAATCAAAGACTAATATACGTTATTATTTTTAAGTTGTTCAATCAATGAAACCATTAAATTAAATCATTAAAAGTTGATCTGATTTTAATTCTGAATAAACATCTGATATTGTCTTAGAGGATAAAGCTTTAACTAGAATGCATGTGCCATAAGGAGTGGAAAAAGTGACAATCAATTACAAGCCATAATTCGTAGACAAATAGATAACACCATTGCCAACATAACTAGACGAGACAGGTAGGAATTTTACAGTAGAGGATATCAGATTTTTTTTAAAATTTTGTTACGATAGTATCAACAGAACCGAACTTCTGCATTAGGCATCGACTGTGTATGTGTTTGTGTGGCCGGGGTGAAGGTTTAAGAATCAAAAGTTACGAAAATGTATCATTGACCAATGAACCCTGAAAATTAGGCCAAGGTCAGATAATACCCGCCAGACAAATATGTTCACCTTACAATTATTTTATTTCCCAAATATAGCTGACCTATTACATCAAGAATTTAAAAACAGACCGAAACACAAAAACGTTACATTGAGGTCAAGGTCAGATGATACGGACTAGAAATAATGTATACTTTAAAATCATTTTATACACTAAATATAGTTGACCTATTACTAACAGTTCTTGAAAAACAGACAAGAACTTAAAATTGACCACTGAACCATGAAAATGAGGTCAAGGTCATGTGATACTGGCTAGAACTACATGTATACCTTACAATCATTCAATACATCAAATATAGTTGGACTGTTGCTTATAGTACATGCATCTGATAGACTGACAAAAATTTTAAAATGTATAATTGACCAAGGTCAGATAATGCCTGCCAGACATACATGCACACCTTACAATCATTCCATACACCAAATATAAAAACAGACCAAAAATATGAACATTGAGCAATGAACCATGGAAATTAGCTCAATATCAGAATAAACCTGCAAGACTGCCATGTACCCATTAGTCATTCCATACACCACATATAGTTATCAAACTGCTTACACTTACAGTATTTGAGAAACGGATCTAATCAAGTAAATTTAACCTAAATCACTGATCCATGAAATTAGGTCGAGGTCAGGTGAATCCTGACTGGCGGACATGCAGACTTTGCAAGGAACCCATATACCAAATATAGTTATCTTATTACTTCTTATAAAGTGAGAAATTCACATTTATACAAAAAACACTTTTTTCCAAGCAGTCACTGAACCATGAAATTGATGTCAATGACACTGAACATGTGACAGACTTCAAAACATAAGGTATCTGCATACAAGATATGAAGCATCCGGGTCCTTTACCTTCTGAAATATAAATCTTTATTCAAATAGTTTACGCCCCCACGGTATAGTAATACCTATGTCCCGCATACTGTGACTTTCGTCGCAGGTGAGACAAAAACGGGCTTCCATGATTAGCTTATAATGATGAACATGATGTAAGGTACGATAAATATCATCAATCAATTAATGTTATAACATAGTAAAATACCCGGATGAACTCTCATACCATCATAATAATAAAAATTATAATAATAATATAAATTCTTTATTTAAAGAGGGTAAACAAAGATAAAATAACAAAAAACTAATCTTCCCTCAAGCCCTCACACACACACATCACAATACAATCAAAACACATATATATTAATACTGGCATAGTTAATTTACAGTCAAGTAGTTCAATTTATTATTATAGACATGACAAGAGGTACATGTAGTAAAAAACCCAAAATAAGATAAAAAATATACAAATCAAAATAATAAAATTGAGAATAGAAATGAGGAATGTTGCAAAGAGACAACAACCTGACCAAAGAGCAGAAAACAGCCGAAGGCCACCAATGGGTCTTCAATGCATCGAGAAAACTTAACAGAATATAAACCAGCACATAGGAAATGAATAAAAGTAATCAAAGCACTGTAAGCGCTGTAGGCAGTTAATCAAAAACCAAGGCAAACGTAATTATGAAAACTGTGGCAGTGTTGCTTCAATTTGTTTTTAAGATTTGAAAGAACAAACATTAAACATTCGTATATTGTACATTTATGTTCATTAAATGAATTGATTATTAAGGCAAATTAATTAATATTTCGTCAAGGTTTTCAAAAGCAACTCATATATCAATGTAAATGACCCCCATCTTCACCCCTAAGTGCATGATGTTACTCCATACCAAGTTTGAAATAAAATGACAGGTGATTATAAAACAGTTGGTCAAACATTCTCGGGCTTTACACTGCTTGAAAGATTTATATGTTTTCTTTAAAATGAGCCATAAATGAAAATTATTATAGGCCCAGAAATAATTTAATAAATAATTACAGTAAATTCAATTAACCTAGACTCATTTTTTGCATCAATAAAATTTTATAATAAACAAGAAATAATTGTAACAGGATGCTGTTACGAAGTCTCCCAAACAAAGCCCCTATAATTCGTCATTCCCATGGCCTCCTGACATTGGGCAAAGTCCAGTTCATATTGGTTTGGTCTAGTAAAGTGATATGCATATGCGACACCTAGGAGATTGACCCTGTATGTCATTCAAATCTTTTTGAAATGATGAACAGGAATAAATATGGTTTAGGTGTGGGTATCTCGACCGTTTACAAGTTCTCAAACAGGAGGGGGTGGGGTGACCCAAGGGACTCTCCCTAAATTTCATTTGATTTGTCATATTGTCCCATACATGAATACATATGGTTTAGGGGTGGGGATCTCGACCATTTCCAAGTTCTCAAACAGGAGGGGGTGGAGTGACCCCAGAGCCTCCCAAAATATTTCATTTGATTTGTTATATTGTTCCATACATGAATATATATGGTTAAAGGGTGGGGATCTTGACTGTTTACAAGTTCTCAAACAAGAGGGGGTGGGGTGTCCCCATGGACTCCCCCTCTATTTCATTTAATTTGTTTATTTTATATGTCCCATACATGAATATATATGGTTTAGGGGTGGGGATCTCGACCATTTCCAAGTTCTCAAACAGGAGGGGCTTGGGTGACCCGAGGAACTCCCCATATATTTCATTTGATTTGTTATATTGTCCCATACATGAATATATATATGGTTTAGGGGTGGGGATCTTGACAGTTTACAAGTTCTCAAACAGGAGGGGGTGGGGTATCCCGAAGGACTCCCCCTATATTTCATTTGATTTGTTCTATTGTCCCATACATGAATGTTTATGGTTTGGGGGTGGGGATCTCAACCATTTCCAAGTTCTCAAACAGGAAGGGTTGGGGTGACTCCAGGGACTCCCCATATATTTCATTTGATTTGTTATATTGTCCCATACATGAATATATATGGTTTAGGGGTGGGGATCTCGACCGTTTACAAGTTCTCAAACAGGAGGGGGTGGGCTACACCGGGAACTCCCCTAAATTATTTTCATTTTATTTCTTTTATTGTCCCATACAAGTATTTATATTGTTTAGGGGTGGGGATCGCGACGGTTTACAAGATAAAAGTACATTTTCAAATTGAAGGGGTTGGGATGACCCCAAGGGATTCACCCTATATTTTTTTTATCGTCCTGTTCTCATTACTGAAGACTGCATGTGTCTATCACTTACTGTTTTCGAGAAATAGTCATTTGAAAATTTAAAAAAATAAAATCCCATAGTGTTCTTTAGTAAACCCTCCCTTCTTCAGGCCCCATGAACAATATTCCTGCGCATTTTGCCCTTTGGGAAATATAAACGACTTGTAATTACCGATTTTCGGCGATGAAATATTTCATACAATTGTTCTTTGACATCGTAGCCAAAAGCACAGGTGATAATAAACTACGTACGGGGGATTTCTATTGAGCACAGTCTACTTCCTATGTGCAACTTCAAAAACTTCAAAAGTTTTGGGTAGTTCGACGATCATTTAAGGTTTTTCTGGTCGTATTTTTTGTATTCCAGGAATAGAAGTATTAAAAAAATGTCCAATTATAATTATAAATAACATAATAGCCAGATAGATAATAACAATGGCACGTATTTCAGCATTTATTGGGTAGAACACAAATCTAGGGTGCTCGCATAAGGCAGCTTAACTGCCTAAAAATAATAAAATAAATTGTAGAAAACAGAATTATATCATGACATCGTCATATTACATGTATTAGAAGTAATGTTTAACATAGTTTAATACCCATGATACCCAGATGCAATCTCTCACATATTCATGACATTGTCATATCACAATAAATGTTTTAACATAGTTTAATACCCTGATGCACTCTGTCATACATTCATGACATTGTCTTATCACAATTATTGATTCAAAAGAGTTTAATACCCAGAAGAACTTATGAGGAGGGATAGGGGCCTGCCAAACATATTTCATCCAACCAGATTATGTATGTGCCTGTCCCAAGTCAGGAGCCTGTAATTCAGTGGTTGTCGTTTGTTTTTGTGTACAATGTTATCATACTTGTTTTGTGTTCATTATTTTGTACATAAATTAGGCTGTTAGTTTTCTCGTCTGAATTGTTTTATATTATGTCATTTTATGGCTGACTAGGCGGTATGGGTTTTGCTCATTGTTGAAGGCCGTACAGTGACATATAGATGTTAATTTCTGTGACAATTTGTCTCTTGTGGAGAGTTGTCTCATTGGCAATCATACCACATCATATTTTTATTTTTATCTCTCAAGCATTTACGACATTGTCATATCACAATTAATGTTTTAATATAGATTAATACCCGGATTAAATCTCATACAGTTATGGCATTGTAATATCACAATTGATGTTTTAACATAATTTAATACCCGGGTCGGGATGAACTCTCGTACATTCGTGGATATTCATCTGATCCTTTAACAAAGATATAACATTAATTTGGTAAACAACTGAACAACATGAACAATATGTATATACAATTCAGCTTTAACCTATGCATTATCAAATATGCATACATGCAAATCGCCTGAGTGCTGCTGATGAGTTCAATTCTAAAAATACATCACAGTTTAAAGACTATCTCCAGTATGTGTTCTTATACATCTCTATGAGTCATCATATCAAATAATGTTTGGCCCATAATTTAAACCTCACAGTATATGTTTATATGCGTCTGTCAGTTTCCATTATTATAAAACCCTCTTCTAAATTAAATACATCACATATATAAGGTTTAATAGGTATTTCCAGTATGTGTCTCTTTAATGCAGTTCTTCTGAAAACAACTTTTAAGCATGTACGCCATTTTTATGATGTTTGTCGCAAGTTTGTGTTCTCTGCAAGTCTGAATTCATGCAATTTGGTACGAAATTAGATTTGCCTTGATTTGACTAGTGTGTGTTCTCATGTGTCTATGTAAATATCACTCACACTGAACCTCAACTCCATATATCTCATTGTGAGTGTTATCTGCTTTAACCTCATTATGTATTCTCATGTGTCTCTTTAAACTACCAATCTGACTAAACCCTTTTCCACATACATCACAGTCATAAGGTTTTTCCCCTGTATGTGTTCTCATGTGTTTCTTTAAACTACCAATTTGACTAAACCCCTTTCCACATACATCACAGTCATAAGGTTTCTCCCCTGTATGTGTTCTCATGTGTCTCTGTAAATGACCAAGCTGAATAAACCCTTTACCACATACACCACAGTCATAAGGTTTATCCCCTGTATGTGTTCTCATGTGAATCTGTAAATTACCAAGCAGACTAAACCCTTTACCACATACATCACAGTCATGAGGTTTATCATGTTTATCCCCTGCATGTGTTCTCATGTGTCTCTTTAAATTATAAAGCTGACGAAATCCTTTACCACATACATCACAGTCATAAGGTTTATCCCCTGTATGTATTCTCGTGTGAATGTGTAAACTACCAAGCTGACTAAACCCTTTACCACATACATCACAGTCATAAGGTTTATCAGCTGTATGTGTTCTCGTGTGAATCTGTAAAAGGTCAAACCTTCTATATCCTTTACCACAGACATCACAGACATGAGGTTTTTCGGTTGAATGTGTTCTCATGTGCTCCCGTAAATAACTAATATGACTAAACCCTTTACCACATTCACCACAGTCATAAGGTTTATCCCCTGTATGTGTTGTCATGTGTTTCTTTAAGTTACTATCTCTAGAAAATTCTTTCTCACACATATCACATTTATGATGTTTTTTAGCAGTTCCTGTTCTCATGTGTATCTTAAAGTCTCCACCACGACTATTTTTTCTAGCACACACATCCCTTTCATTCAGTTTATTATCAGCTTCTGTTCCCACATGTCTGTGTAGAGTACCATTGATTGTGACTAGATTATCTACCAAATTCATCTTTATAATAAGGTTTTCTCTGTAAGATACAAAAAAAAGTTAGGACTAAAACCATTTTAAACCTCCCTAGTAAATTACCTATAAAATATCTATGTTGTATACACTGTTTTGGTCTATTACACGATATTCCGCATATATGCATCTTCATGTTTATAGGGTAATTCTACTTCAATACTATGTATGACATCTACATGTTAGGTTAGTTCTACTTCAATACTGTATATGATGTCTACATGTTAGGATAGTTCTACTTCAATACTATATATGACATCTACATGTTAGGATAGTTCTACTTCAATACTATATACATTGATATATGACATCTACATGTTAGGTTAGTTCTACTTCAATACTGTATATAACATCTACATGTTAGGATAGTTCTACTTCAATACTATATACAATGATATATGACATCTACATGTTAGGGTAGTTCTACTTCAATACTGTATATGTCATCTACATGTTAGGATAGTTCTACTTCAATACTATATACAATGATATATGACATCTACATGTTAGGGTAGTTCTACTTCAATACTACATATGACATCTACATGTTAGGATAGTTCTACTTCAATACTATATATGACATCTACATGTAAGTTGTTCTATTTTAATACTATATATATGACATCTACATGTTAGGATAGTTCTACTTCAATACTATAATTGGCATCTACGTGTTATGTTAGTTCTACTTCAATACTATATATGACATCTACATGTTAGGGTAGTTCTACTTCAATACTATATATGACATCTACATGTTAGGTTAGTTCTACTTCAATACTATATATGACATCTACATGTTAGGGTAGTTCTACTTCAATACTATATATGACATCTACATGTTAGGTTAGTTCTACTTCAATACTATATATGACATCTACATGTTAGGGTAGTTCAACTTCAATACTATATATGACATTTAGCTGTTAGGGTAGTTCTACTTCAATACTATATATGACATCTACATGTTAGGTTAGTTCTACTTCAATACTATATATGACATCTACATGTTAGGGTAGTTCTACTTCAATACTATATATGACATCTACATGTTAGGTTAGTTTACTTCAATACTATATATGACATCTACATGTTAGGATAGTTCTACTTTATTACTATATATGACATCTACATGTTAGGGTAGTTCTACTTCAATACTATATATGACATTAACATGTTAGGGTAGTTCTACTTCAATACTATGTATGACATCTACATGTTAGGATAGCTCTACTTCAATACTGTATATGACATCTACATGTTAGGGTAGTTCTACTTCAATACTATATATGACATCTACATGTTAGGGTAGTTCTACTTCAATACTATATATGACATCTACATGTTAGGGTAGTTCTACTTCAATACTATATGACATCTACATGTTAGGATAGTTCTACTTCAATACTATATATGACCAGAGGTGGATTTAAGAGGGGGACAGGGGGCCCAATCCCCTCTTTTCTGGGAATAATTTGGTTGATTATATAGGGAATAACTGGAGCATGACTGGAGCGGGCCCCCACTTATGAAAATTTCTGGATCCGCCACTGATGACATCTACATGTTTATAGAGTAGTTCTACTTCAATATGTTCAATCCTACATGCCATTTTAAATGTCATATAGTATTGAAGTAGAACTACCCTAAAACGTTAATGATTTCAGTTCTACAATATAATATGACATATGTACATGTTATGGTAGTTCAATTCTATTTATGACATCAACATGTTAGGGTAGTTCTACTTCAATTCTATTTATGACATCTACATGTTAGGGTAGTTCTACTTCAATACTATATATGACATCTACATGTTAGGGTAGTTCTACTTCAATATTATATATGACATCTACATGTTAGGGTAGTTCTACTTTAATATTATTTATGACATCTACATGTTAGGGTAGTTCTACTTCAATACTATATATGACATCTACATGTTAGGATAGTTCTACCTACGTGTTAGGGTAGTTCTACTTCAATATAAAATTGAGAATGGAAATGGGGAATATGTCAAAGAGACAACAACCTGACCAAATAGCAGAAAACAGCTGAAGGCCACCAATTGGTCTTCAACACATGGAGAAAATCCTGGATCTGAAGGCATGCTTAAGCTGGCCCCTAAACAAAAATGTGTACTAGTTCAGTGATAATGTAGGCCATACTAAACTCCAAAACATATAAATGAACAAAAATTATAAAATCATACAAGACATACAGCAGAGGCTCGGGACTTGTGATTGGTGCAAAAGTGCAGCGGTGTTAAACATGTTTTGTGAGATCTAAACCCTCCCCTTATACATCTAGCTATTTGATAGTTGTTAGACAAGTTAGCATGATACAATTTCCCAAAATATACCTTATTGTCGAGACTTCGACTTTTGTTGAAAAATCGAGACATAGCGATCCTACATTCCGGCGTCGGCGGCGTCCACAAATATTCACTCTGTGGTTAAAGTTTTTGTCGAGCCTGCGACTTTTGTCGCAGAAAGCTCGACATAGAGATAGTGATCCGGCGGCGGCGTCGGCGGCAGGTGGCGTTAGCTAACTTCTTAAAAGCTTTATATTTTAGAAGATGGAAGACCTGGATGCTTCATACTCTGTATATAGATGCCTTATGTTACGAAGTTTCCATCTGTCACATGTCCATTGTCCTTGACCTCATTTTCATGGTTCAGTGACTACTTGAAAAAAAAGTTAAGATATTTTTTGTACTGTTAATTTCTCTCTTATTATGAGTAATAGGATAACTATATTTGGTATGTGTGTACCTTGCAAGGTCCTCATGCCCGTCAGACAGTTTTCACTTGATCTCGACCTCGTTTCATGGATCAGTGAACAAGGTTAAGTTTTGTTGGTCAAGTCCATATCTCAGATACTAGAAGCAATAGGTCAAGCATATTCGGTGTATGGAAGGACTGTAAGGTGTACATGTCCAACTGGCAGGTGTCATCTGACCATGGCCTCATTTTCATGGTTCAGTGGTTATAGTTAAGTGTTTGTGTTTTGGTCTGTTTTTCTTATACTGTATGCAATAGGTCTACTATATTTGGTGTATGGAATGATTGTAAGGTGTACATGTCTAGCTGGCAGGTGTCTCCTGACCTTGACCTCATTTTCATGGTTCAGTGATCAAAGTTAAGTTTTTGAGTTTTGGTCTTTTTTTCTAATACATGTACTAAATGCAATAGGTCAACTATATTTGGTGTATGGAAATATTTTATGATGTACATGTCAGTCTTGCAGGTTTTATTTGACCTTGACCTCATTTTCACGGTTCATTGCTCTGTGTTAAGTTTTTGTGTTTTGGTCTATTTTTCTAATACTATAAGCAATAGGTCAACTATATTTGTTGTATGGAAGGATTGCAAGCTGTGCATGTCTGCCTGGCATGGTTCAAATGACCTTGACCTCATTTTCATGGTTCATTGGTCAATGTTTAGTTTTCTTGGTTAAGTCTGTATCTTAGAAACTATAAACAATAGGTCAACTATATTTAGTGTATTGAATGATTGTAAGTTGTACATGTATTTCTTGTTTGGTTTATATGACCTTGACCTCATTTTCTTGAATCATGTTAAGTTTATGTGATAGTTGTATTTAAGACTATCAACATATCAATGATTAGTAAAGAAGGCGAGACATTTCAGCGTGTGCATTCTTGTTGAAATTTTAATAACATTCCTAAACTATCTGGGATTTCTACCAAATTTGGACAAAAGCTTGTATATGATCATAAAATAGTACCCAGAAATAATTTTATAAAAAAAAATCCTGTTTATCCGTATGTTACTTATAAATGGACTTAGTTTTTCTGCCAGTTAACATTACATTCACTCTGTGGTTAAAGTTTTTACAATTTTAATAACTTTCTTAAACTATCCTGGATTTCTACCAAACTAGGACAAAAGCTTGTTTATGATCAGAAGATGGTACATGTACATGTATCCAGAAGTAAATTTTGTAAAAAAAAAAAATCCTTTTTTTCCTATTTTACTTATAAATGAACTTAGTTTTTCTGCCAGTTAACATAACATTCACTCTGTGGTTAAAGTTTTTAAAAATTGTAATAACTTTCTTAAACTATCCTGGATTTCTACCAAACTTGGACAGAAGCTTGTTTATGATCAAAAGCCATGAAAGCTAGTACTTATCTAGAAGGAATTTTTGTAAAAATATATTTCCTGGTTTTTCCGTATGTTACTTAATTATGTATGTAGTTTTCTTCCAGTTAACATTTATATACAATCTGCAGTTAAAGTTCCTGAACTATTTATAAGCTTCATAAAGTAGGCGAGACGCTGGGTTCCGCGGAACCCTTACAATTTTTTTTTACATTTAATCTTTGCTGCATATCAATCAATTTCATTTGAATTTTTCCCTTGAACTTCTCTAATCTTGCTACATATATACATGTAGGGATAATTGGCGTGTACCAGATAGGTATATACATGGTATAGAGGTTTTACTTTATAAAAAGAAGATGTGGTATGAGTGCCAGTCAGACAACTCTCCATCTAGGTCACAGTGTATATAAGTTACAAAGTTTGATTAACTTGTTTCGAGCTTGTTTCTAAGATCTTTGCATATTGAAGCAAATAAAATACGTTTAAACTATAATACATTTAGATAACTGTTACAAAATTATGTGGATGTGTGTAACCATAGTTGGGGGCAAATTGTTTTCCCCCTGTCTGTCCGTTATTACGCACCATTATGGGTAAATAAATATGCAATCCAACTCCTACAGTTTGATTGCAATCTAGGTCATGGTCAAGTAACTGAACTTATTACGAGTTTTTAATGTTATTTTCTGCTTAGGTTAATTTGGTATATATATCAATGATATTTTCTATGAAGTTGTACAATTAGTAAAGCATATAATGCATATCAGTTTGACAACTATTTTGATGTTCTATCCCCAGTATGTTCATGGTCTAGCAACTTCATATTGATATTAAGCAATTTTTCTGTCCATCAGATTATCTCTTCTGAATTTTTATT